CAGGGGAGGGGGTAGGATGAGGGAGTGGGACAGAGGGGGCGGGGGGACAAGAGGGCAGGACGGGGAAGGAGGGGGGCAAGGGGGAGGAGGGGGGCAAGGCTGGACGGGAGGAGGGGAAGGGGGATAAAGAGGGAGGGGAAGGGGGACAAGGGGAGAGGGGCAAGGGGGGTCTACGGGACAACTGGTTTGTTCGTTTCTGCAGGGCCAGCCAAACCCCTAAGGTTCTCAGTCATCATGGCCTTGAAACCCGACGACCCCAGTGGTGGGTTCCAGCACAGCAAAGTAGTAACCTTCATCAATGAGAAGATAGCTGGGCACACAAAAGGCCCAGAGTTCTACCTGGAGGATACATCCTTGCCCTGGGAGGAGGTGGAGGACAAACTCAGGGCCATCCTGGAAGACAGCACAGTGTCCAGTGAGGCCAAAGAGGCCTGTGCCTGGAGCAGCCTGGCCCTAGGTGTGCGCTTTGCCTGCAGGCAGGGCCAGTTACACAAGCACAGGGTACACTGGCTGCATGACTTCGCCAAACTGCATAAGACCACTGCACAGACCTTGGCCTCAGACCTAAAGGAGTTCACTACACAGCAGGAGATGGAGCACAAAGAGGCAGCCTTCCAGCTACAGATGGCCCAGGCCAACCTGGAAGAGGTGCAGACAGAACGGGATTTCCTGAAGTGGAAGCTCCTCCAGGTCTTAAAGATTATCTCTGCTTGATCCCTGCCCTATCTCCCTGCCCCATCCCCTCACCACCCCCAGAATGGGTCTCAACACTGCCCACTTTTCTCCCACAGCTGCAGTCTCTGCAGAAGCAGGTCCAGGTCTCAGAGGAGCCAGGCCTGGCCACAAGGACAGAAGGAGCAGGTGAGGTAGAGGAGGCGGGAGTTGCTGCCACTTCTACTGCTTCTACTGGCACTGCAGGAAGAGGAAGAAGAGGACAGAAGAATGCACAAGGGGCAGAAGCTGCAAAGGAGCCAGGTGGAGGCCTCATGCACCTGCCTGGAGCTGTGGAGCGGAAAAATTACACCGCCAGTGGGCAGAGGAAGGGAGATATTAAGTCAGTGGAAACAGCCATGTTTTATTTCTCTGGGACCATCAAGCCTAGGGCCACAGTCACACCATCACTCCTTCCTGTCCAGCTCCCTGCCTCATTCACATACTCCTACGCCTGTCCCTTTTCCCCCTTCCCACCTGCGCCCACACCAGTCCCACCAGCAACACCATTCACCGTAGGAAATCCAGTTCAGACATCTCCCCACTGGAGGCCCTCTGAGGTTAGTGTGAGATCTAATGTGGGGTCCCAGGGAAAAGACCCTCAAGAATCCCAAAGAGACAGGAGAGACTCTGATCCCTATCAGCCTAGAAGACCTCCCATATTTCGCAGACCTGGGGATTGGGACTGCCCTTGGTGTAAAGCTGTGAATTTTTCAAGGAGGGAAATTTGCTTCCGCTGTGGGAGGGGAATCTGGCTGCAAAGCCCTCAGTAAATTAAGAAATGTCGAATAGAACAGAAACCTATACCAGTGGAAAATCAATTTTTGAGGGATGGGGGAAAGGTGAGGGAGGGGACTGGGTGGAGTGGGGAAGGGGATAAGTGGGAGAATGGGGCTAAAGGAATGGGAGGGAGGTGGGGTGGGAAGTGGAGAAGGTGTAGATTGACAGGGAGAGACATGTTTTGATGACCCCCTTTGTGTTCCAGAGCATTAGTGTTCCATACCCCAGAAGCACCGTAGCTTTTGTTCTTACTCCTAAGCCCTAGTATCTAGTGGACATGAGCAGCCATGTATATGACAATCCACCCATCTCCCCACCTAGGCTGTATATGATGGGAGGAGTGGACATCTGACCCATCCTTAGCCAAACAGGTTCTCGAACAGAAAGGCAGATTTCATAGAGTGGTGTTGGGCAAGGAAGCAGTGGGTTATTTGGAGTTGGGGCCAAGGCCAGAGTCATGAATGCCGAGGCCACAGCCAAGGACTGGCCCTGGCTGTCAAAGAGAAGAACTGTGTGCTTTATAGAAGCCAAGTGTCTTAGAAGATAGCAGAATCAGATCCCAGGGAGCAGATAAGGCATAGAGAAAGCACAGGAGTTGATCTTGTAACCCCAGAGATGGAGACAGTGGTGGTCTTTCTACAGTTGTGCTGCATGAAAATCCAATCCACACAGATACCCTTTAAGTTAAGTTGAGTGGGTTCCTGCTCTGGGTAACCAGATTATTTCCAGGTCAGAAATTGGCACCAAGAAGAGCAGTCACAAACCACAGATCATCCAAGAAAAATGTCAACACGGGCTGGGGAGGAGTATCAGAGAGTTACAGGTAGTGAGGATTCCTATATCCAAGAGTCTCCCGGAATGAACTGGACAGGAAGCTTGTTCGTGTTCTGATCAAGTTATATCATGAGAAACCATCAAAACAGGCCTGGGATTAACCCTGGGCTTACAACACAGCAGAGATTTGCCACCCCTAAGATGAAATCCCTCAGGACTGATGAAATCACCAGCAGGACATACAGAGGACACCAGCACCAGATGCAGACAACTGCTATGGCTGTATAGCCCCAAAACATGAGAATCTTCCCCAGTCCCCAGTGGCAGAACTGGGGACAGACAGATCTGAACAGGGAACCCCTACCACTTCCAAGGAGGTGAGTCAGCAAATGATAGTGCCTAGAGGGTTTGCTGGTCTAGTTTATGGACCAAAGTGTGGTGCTATCCTGAGCAATTCTCTCCCCAAACCCACTGCCAGAATAATAGTGGGAGGGGGGATCTGGTTACAAAGGTCTCAGTGAATTCATAAATGAAATAAAACATATCCCAATGGGAAATCAATGTCTAGAGGGAGGGGGTAAACTGGGAAAAGAGAAGGGGAGAGGATGGTTTGTGTTTCCTTTCTCATGATTCTAAGTGGTGTTGAGGGAGACTAAATGTATGGATTAGCCCACAGGTAGAAGGATCGTGAGGTGTCACACCTGGACCAGAGTAAGAAAACTGGAGGAGCCCTGGACATCACCCAGGGACTACAGACATAGAGCCTGAAGCTATAATGGCCCCGGTTCATCGCCATAGCTCCTGGATAGGACTTTGGGCTGTCTCCTATTGGGGCAGGTGTGGACAACCATCAGGATTGGGGGCAAGATCCCTAACCTGCATTTTCAGGAATATCTTTGGGCTTGTTTATATTCATCTAAGACAGAGTTTCCCAGCCTCAGCACTCCTCGCACTTGAGGTTCAATAATTCTTTGTTGCAGGGGGCTGTCTAGTACACTGCGGGATGTTTGACAGAATCCCTGACCTCTGCACATTAGAGGTCGGTAGCACCCACTCCCCAAGTTGTGACAAGCAAAAATGTCTCCAGGTATTGCCACACGTCCACTGGAGGGTGAAACTGCCACTGGCTGGGAACCATAGAGGCGACAAGGTCCTTAGGAGTAGTCATGACAGTGGGAAGAGAGATGCAAGGAGAGCATTCTCAGCAGTGCCCAGGGCTGCAGGGGAGGCCCTAAGGTAGGAACTGAAAAGTATTCATTGGATTTGGTATTATTTCGATCTTTGAACAGATCTGGGCCAGGGAGGGGTAGAACCCAAACCACAAAGACTGAGGAGTAAATGGGAATTGAGGAAGTGCAGGCAGGGGGGCTCTTCAAGAACTCCTAGCAGTAAAGGGAAGGAATGGGGTACATGGCTGAGAGAGGGTTCCTTTTAATATGGGAGAAATTTGAACCACGGGGAAGGAGACAACTGAAGAAAGCTTGAAAACATGCAACACACAAGAGAGAGACCCTGCTTACCACATTGGGAGGCATGTCCATTGTACTATTCAATAAAAAATAAAATATGACGGCCAGTTTTTTGTGTGTGTGAAACAAAACCCCCAAAGCTCTGTAACTGCATATGAAGGATATGGATATATATATATATATATATATATATATATATATATTAGGTTTATATGTGCCTTATGTTACACATTGATGTTTGAAAAGGCATAGAAAAAAAGGTCTGGAAAGATATTTAGCAAACAAGGTGTTACCTAGGGAGGTATGGTCAGGGCATGGTAAGCAGGAGTGGGGATGTTGGGGTATAAGGTGGGGTGGGGTATGGGACAGTAGGGTGGAGGGCTTTTATATCTTTATATACTTCTGTGTTGTGTAAAGTGAAATAATTAAATGCTTAAAAATAAAAAAAAGTGAATTTACTTGCTTGGGGAGGTTTGGAAAGGCCACCTCTTCCTCTAGGACAGGAGGGAAGGAAGGAGAACAGACACTGATCTGTGTGGTGAGGGGTCTGGAAACAAGGGAGCTCGTGCCTGTGTGCTTGAGATGTGGAGTGAAGGAGACAAGATACCTGAGAGTGAGCACAGAATGGAAGGCAGCGTGGTGGGTGGGGAGTTTCTGAGCAATGGCACTTTGGGGAATAACAGCAGGGGATTGAGGTGAGGCATGGAGGGAGAGAAAAAGATCACTGAGCTGCATGGAGTGGGACAGGACCCAACTGAAAGAAAACCAAGGAAGAGGACAGTTGGATCTGGAAGGAGAAGAGGGTAGGTCCAGGAGGGGCACAGACACAGATCTCTTAGATGTTATAGACTGCCATCAACTCCCTACAGCAAAAATAGCATATACAAAAGGGACAGAGGCTGGAGGGGCTGACAGGGATCTGTGCCTGACTCTCTACCCCTTCTAGGTTTGTAGCCTATCTTATCATTTGCTGTTTTGCTATGGAGAAGCTGAGCACTAGTTATATTTTGTTTGCAGGTCCCATCAGCTGGGGGTACAATTTCTAGCAATCCAGTTTCTACCTTACAAATACCTAAGTGTTTAAAGCAAAGTTCAACTTACTTCAGGTCTTTGATTTTACAGCATGGATTACGTAGTGCTTGGCAGAGCAAGTGTAGCCGAGACACTGGCAAATTGTGTAGCTTGAAGGACCTAAAAAAGATGAGAAAGCAAAAATAATTTAAAACAAAACAGTTAAGAACAAAATTTTAAGTAAAAGGCTTACTTTGGCTTCTGTTTACCATACTAGTATTCATTTACTTCTTCCAAAGTCCTTAGGAGGTATTATCCCATTTTGCAGATAAGGAAATTAAGGCAAAAACAAGTTAAGATATTTGCCTAAGGTCACATAGGTAGGAATAGAATGGAGGTCAGCACTCAGATCTGTCTGACTTCAAAGCACAAGCCATGTTACTGTGTGCCAGGCACCAAGGTAAGCACTTTACATATAAAATTATCTTATCTGGTCCCTAACACAATGATGGATATCATAATCATCATTTTGCAGATGGCTCAGAGAAGTCAAGTGAGTTGCCCAAGCTATCTACACTATAACTATATTTTGGTTGTCAGTATTAATAGAATAATTAATCATTAAAAACTAGAAAAGTTCATATGTTTTGAACTAGAAAAGTTCAAATGTTCATATGTTAAACATAATTCTATGTTTAATTTTTTGAGGAATACCCAAAGAAAACAAAAACACTAATTTGATAATATATATGCACCCCTATGGTTATTGCAGCATTATTTACAATGGACATATTATGAAAGCAACTCAAGTGTAGATGAATAGATGAATGGATAGAGATGTGGTGTGTGTGTGTATGTATGTGTGTGTATGTGTATTTATATATATATATATACAAACAATGCATATATATATATGTATGTATATATATACATACATACACAATGGAATATTACTCCACCATAAAAAAAGAATAAAATCTTGCCTTTTGCAACAACATAGATGGATCTAGAAGGTATAATGCTAAGTGAAAGAAATTAGTCCAAGAAAGACAAATATCACATGATTTCACTCATATGTGGAATTTAAGAAACAAAACAAATGAACAGAAAAAAGAGAGACAAAAAATAAACAGACTCTTAAATACAGAGAACAAATTGGTGGTTGCCAGAGGGGAGGTGGGTGGAGATGTGTGAAATAAATAAAGGGGATGAAGAGCACACTTATCTTGACAAGCACTGAGAAATGTACAGAATCACTGAATCACTATATAGTACACCTGAAATTAATATAACACTCTATGTTAATTACACTTGAACAACAAAATAAACCTAAAACAGTACAATAGTGAACTCTCTGTCAACATGCTTGTGAAAAGAATATTTTGGGGTAAGTTTTAAAGAAAGTTTAAGCCCCCTGATAAAGGCAATAGGGCTGGGGTAGGGACTCCATTTAAGGCTGATTTTCTGGAAATCTAGAATGAACCAGAAGCTTCTCTTTGTTTCCACCAGTGTTTAAAAGTTCTCAATGCATTTATCCATCATTTTACTTTATAATATACAGTTGAAGTGGTCTTGAATTTATCAAGACATTGTAGCCAAGGTCCTTGGTAATTCCAAGTCCATGTAACCTCTCCTACTCCTTCCACTCTAGTCCCAAACACTCTTGCTGCACTTCCTTTCCCCTCTCCACTTCCCTCAAACACACCTACCCCATACTCATTTCTACCTCTATGCTACTCCCACTGAGGAAATATAACTATCAGAGAAAAGACTCGCGTTAACACTTCCTAAGTAGAGCCTTCTGCCCACTCTCTTCTTCTCAAGGTCCCCTACCTCTCAGCTGGTCGTACAACTAAAGGAGTGGCAATGTCCATCTTAACCCAAGTATTGAGAACGGACTTATGACCAGTGGCATTTTCTAGATAACACAGGTCAATAAGTCAATAGAACTGTATTTTGCAATATACAGAATCTGATGAAATAAGTGGTTTACCTAAGCCTCTTTGAAACCTTTGTGAAGGTGGAAGCCTGGTGGAAAAAGCCCAGGATTCACAGCAATATATGTAGGAGTACAATTCTGTCCCTTACTAACCTGAGGCTCTCTGAGGCCTCAGTGATGAAGTATATGTAGAGGAGAGTGATGACCAATTCAATGTTAAGTTTACCACCTTTTCCAGAATAGCAGTCATCAACACCAAAATAGTAGAGTCCTCAATGATAATCTTGATGACTTACATGCTCATAACACTTTTATAATTATAAAGTACATTCACAAGGTAACAGTGAAGACTAATATATATACACACACATACACACACACAGTGGCTAGCACAGTGCCTAATACATAATAAGTGCTCAGAATTGTTAACGTTCCCTTACTGTCTACTTAGTCTAGTGTCTAATATGTGATATATATTGAATAAATCCTTACTGGGTTGATTGACGTAAAATATAGAAAGTGGAGATGATTCATTTTATTTATTGACAATACCAGAAATGATCGTGTGCCTGAATACTTGAAATAAACAAGAAAGCCCATGATTTCTGAAGGCCAAAACATTGGAGAAAAGACATTAATATACTCACAGATTAAGTGTAAAGACTGGTGTCATGAATGCAGAGGCTTGCTCTTCCTCCTCAAATCCAATTAGGTGCTGACACTTCAGAGACACTGACAGATGACTGTGACTGCTTTTTACACAGAATGACATAGCCAGAATGTCCATTTTTGTGTAGGTAGGTTGAAGCAATATAATTGATTGTAAATCACCAATTATCTTTTCTGCATATTCTTCTTCCTGAATCTCATACAAACAATGAAATAAGTCCATTGGCTCAATCTGTAACATAGAATATTTATCCTTTATTTCTTTCTCAGTCCATTTCAATAATTCCTCTCGAAGTCCTGGGGAGACTTTTCTTCCAAAAGTAGTTTCCACAGCTTTTCCCTTTCCTTTACATAAGAGGCCAAACAAGAACTGTATCGTTAATGATGAAAACCCTTTCCCATATTGTTGGAATATTTCTTGCCACGTTTTCCCCACTTGATCAAAAAACATCCAGTTGCCGTCATTCTTTAGGGCATAGAACACAGCAGTCAAGAACTCTTGGAAACTGAAGTGAAGGAAAGTGTAGACATTGACACTTCCTTCAGATTTTTTCAAAAAGTGATTTAGAAAAGTGCAATTGATATCATATACCCCTATCCCATGTCTCCTGAGGTCACAGACTTCAAATAGGACCTGTTGGTTCTGTAGTCCCTCTGCAGCCAAAGAGCAAAGGCCCCACAGACAACTTTGTCCCTTCCACACTGAGATACCTGTAAGGGTTTTGAGGCACTTGGAAAAGTAAAACAGATACACATCAGTCATGGTCTGAAGTGACCTCATAAGACTCCTGTCACCATCTTCCTGTGACTGCAGGACACTACAGATCATCCAGGAGATGATGGGAAGAGAGGACATAATGTCAAGGCTTTGATTTTGTTGCAGCTCATAAAAGACTCTCATTGCAGCATTATCACCTGAAAACTGACTCAAGAAATATGCTCTCTTTTCAGCATTTGTAAACCAAATGATCTCGGCCTGGATAGATTGTTTTAACAGAGAGTGGAGCTTCTTCATGGTTGCAGGCCGGGCAGTTATCAGCAGGGAGGATTCAGGGAACAGTTTTTTCCTCACAAAACTACGTAAGAGGGTCTCTACTGGTTTCTGCTCCTGGGGTTTAGCACTAAGATCCTCTTCCAGGTTACCTACAGGATGCTGGAGCTCAGGAAATCCATCAAGTATGAAAAGAAGCTTCTCTGGATACACAAGAATAACGTCCAGGATTGGTCCATCTATATCTTGACAAGTGTTAGTGATTAGGTCAGCAGCACTAAGGTTAGCAATATGGCTTATTTCTCTGCAGTTTACATAGATGAGATAGTCAAACCTTCCTGGAGTAACCATTCCTGCTGCCCAGTCAAACATGAACTTGTGCACCACAGCTCTTTTCCCAATCCCAGCACATCCCTGAAGCACCACAGTTTGGGATGAGCTGCAGCCCTCTTGGTCAGGATCAAATACATGTCCCATATCAATAAAATTATCTTGTTGAGGAATCCCACATGGTGTCTTTTCTGATATACCATGTTCTTTTACAAGAAGCAGCCGTGACTCTATATGATTGCCATGATGATAACATTTATGGACTCCTATGTTTAGGTATTTTTCTTTCAGATGTTTTCTAAATATTTCCCGGGAATCTAATGAGGTGACACCAAGAGTTAGTAATCACGGAATCCTAGACAACAATACAAAACAACAGCTATAACTAATATCACCATCTCCACTTGGACATCTTATTTTACATGTCTAAACCTGAGCTCTGGATTTCTGTGTGGGTGCCCTCCCCCCCCCCCAAAAAAAAACCCTCCACAGGCATGTCATCTCAATTAAATGATGTCACCCAGTTGCCCAGAAAAATATTAGGAGCCATTCTTTATTTCTTTTTTCCCCTTGAATCCTCCACATCCAATCAATTAACAAGGCCTATCATACGCCTTCAATACACTTATTTATCACTACATTCTCAAATACCAACCAAATACAAGGTACTACTAACTGTTTCCTGGAGAAAGAAATAGACTCCTACTATTCATTTACTCTAGCTTATCTATGGCTCCTCTCCACACAGCAGCCAACATGATCTTCTAAAAATATCAATTACATCATTTGACTACCATACCTGAAACCTTTCAAAAGCTTTTCATTGCACTT